GTATGGGCATCACAGCGTTGGTGGGGAGAAGTAAGTTCGCAAAGTTTTAACTGCACATATTTTAAGGAGTTTCCAATATTTATGTTCATATATTTTGCAGATCACGGTGCTGCCGAATTGGTGCTATTTTTAATAGGAAAACTTGCAATTACATGTAGTTTTCAGATTTTATACTTTTTCACCTCAGAAATATTCCCCACCAATGTTCGCAATAGTTTGCTATCATTTTGTTCTATGGTTGGACGCATCGGTTCGATGTTGGCGCCTCAAGCACCGCTCTTGGTATGAAAAAAAATATTTTTTGTTTGAATATAAATTTGTAATCTATTGGTACATTTGATAGGCCAATTACTATGAGTACGCACCTCAAATACTTTTCGCCATCTTTGCTTTGATTAGCGGCACCTTAACTCTACTATTTCCAGAAACAACTGATAAGGTGCTACCTACAACGCTACAAGATGCCGAGCATTTGAATGATAAAAATCTTAAAAATGCCAAAAAAATTGCTGAATAATGGTGGTTGGGGGTCGGAGAACGTTTTGTGTTAGAACTATGTTGTCAATGACCAATCTTTTTAGTTATTTTTTATATTACGTTTAATTTAAGAGTGCATGAAAGTGTTTGTCTGTGTGTAAAAAAGTGAAAATGTGTCACAGTCAAGGCATTATGCCTTAGTGCATAATTATTGAATTATAATCAGTTCAAAAATATAAATACAAAGGAACTTTTGTGGTTCAAATAGTTTTAAATTTTTTCTTTATTCGTTCGTGGGCTCTATTTAAAACTCCTATATCACTAGCTTAATAGTGAAAAGTTGCTGAGTGCATTTTAACAAATTTCAGAGGGGAAATACTTCTTAAAGCCATTGGGCCTTATGAATAAAAAATAAGCAATTGCTTTTTCTTAAAATTTCAGACCTTTTACTCGATTTGTTCGAACAAATTTCATTTAATTTCATTTATTAAACAAATTCATTAGTACAATAAGAACTTAAAGCTCTTTTATAGTACAACAGTAATTATAAAGCACAAACATAAAAAAAAAAATTAAGTAAAAGGTCTGAAATTTTAGGAAAAAGCAATCGCCTATTTGTTTTTTTATTTCATAAGGCCTATTTAAACACGTACATACATATCGCTAGCTTACAGTGCAACGCTGCAAAGTCCAGTTTTTTTAATTTTACTGCAGAGGAAAAAGCTTCTCAAAATAATATTCTTGAAGTATATTGCAAAAATTTTTAATACAAAAATTTTGCGTATTTAAAACAAACGGTAGAATTCGACACAAATTAAAGCTTTTCGTATCGTTTTGCACTTAGCAAATTTGAGTTTCACTGAACAGAATCGGATAGAAATGCAACTATGCGTTTTTAGTTTTCCTCACCTCCTACATCAAAAGGTGAATTCTCAAAAAAAGTGGACTTATCAGCTTTTCACTCCAAGCCAGCGATAAGTATGTGTGTATATAAAAAAAAAAGATATTTACGGAGTAACTACAACCTACAAATTTTTCATGTGGACTCACCTTCTAATTTTAGTATTTAGACCTAAATGATGGATTTTAATTTCCAATGATTAAATTGAAAGAAGTATGAATTTGTGAATG